TCAACCTGAGCCTGCTATGTGTCTATCAGCTTACATTATCTCTCCCAGTGCAAGGCAAGGCATCTGTAGAAAATAACAGCCTTATCTTTTCACCTGTACCTTGATTTGTAATAGTAAGTGTAAATTTCAAGATGATTCAGACTGGTTCTGGAGCATGAAAACAAGCTCATAGCCTTGTGATAAACATTACAAATAGTTTTAACTCTGGGGTAAATGTGATACATTCTTCAAGCAATGCATTTGCTTAATTTTGTTTGATTTATTTACATGTTTCTTTAGCAGTTTCCAAATAATACAACAGATACTGTACAGTATGTAGATGAGTGGAGAACTGTGTCAACCTGTCAGCTGCAAAAGAACAACTAGAATCTAATGCCATGCTGAAAAATAAACACAATGAAGAAAAAAAGAACAATGTTAGGGTTATGGAGATTTTTTTTGTATATATATTCATGCTGGACTATGGCAGCTCTAACATGTTGAATCTTCATTGGTAATGGCACTACGGTGGAAGAACATTAGAAAGCTTACAAATGAGAGAACATAGGAATGGGAAGAACATAGCAAATGAGACAAGGCCTTTTGGTCCATTATGCCCACTGGTAGTTATTAGCTAACTGAAAACTCTTGAGAGATATCTTTAAATTATTTGAAGATATTATTAATACCACATTATTTGAAGATATCTGTAACTCATTTGTAGATATCTTTAATGCTTTTAGATGCCTTTAAATCAATCAAAGATACCTTTACATTTTTAAAGACATCTATGAATAAGTTACAGATCTTTTCAAATATTTAAATATGCAAATAGAAATGACTTATGATGAGATATCTTAAAATGATAATTTGGCTTGCTTTATGGATCTAAGATAGTTGTTTCTCAAAGGAAACCAGGTTACGGTATTCAACAACATCACTGGGTCCCACACACCAATGATCCTTTGTGTAAATTAAAAATTAAGAGCATATTCAAGATCACTGTTTGGAGATTAATGTAACACTGAACTATCAGGGTTTTGTGCAAATCACTTCAACTCTGAAAACCCCTCAAGGTGAAGTTCTGAGAAGTAAAAGCATTTACAGCAACAGGTGATTGGGGGTTACACATCTTTTATTGTATCTCTTTATGAAGACCTTGTTAATTTTCTGGTGTCTCACATTGGATTTTTCATATATTGACCACACTTCTAGTGAGAAGGATTCTAATAATCAGTTTATTTTTTTTTTCAAAATTTGTAAGCATCAACTCAAATTTAGATTTTCCTCAAAGTCATCACCTACATTTTTTGATGGAGCTACATCAATCTGTTTTACAGTAGGAAAAGTAATATAGAGGGTTACTATATATAGTATGCTCTATATACAGTAGCTTCAGTAAAACACAGAATGGTTAATTACAGAATAATTGCAAATTGCCTTCACCAAATCTTCCCAAACACTTACAGTCAGCTTCTTCTATGTCTGTATTTACAGAGTGGTGCCACTGTGGCTAAGGATCTGTGCCTGTAGCTGGAAGGCTGCTGGTTCAAATCCTACAGCTGAGCAGAGGACTCATACTATGTTGGGCCCCTGAGCAAGGCCCTTTAACACCAGCTACTTCAGGGGTGCTGTATAAATGGCTGACCCTGTGCTTTGACCCCAGGATTCCCTCCCTGTCTACGTCTCATGAAGAGCAAGCTGGAGTATGTGAAAAGATGAATTTTTAATGCAAGAAATTATATATGGCTAATAAAGTGATCTTATCTTATTTATTTTTTTTAATTCATGGTAACAGTGAGTTGAAGAAATTGTGATATATGAAAACGTTTCAATACACATATTCTTGAGTCAAAAAATATACAGCTCAACATCATCTAAAACAAGGCAAAATAACTAGCTCACCATCTTATCTTTGTCTTTCTTTTTTTATCTTAATCACTTATCTTTCCTGATAGTGAATTTATTAAACAATTATCTTTAGTGGTGATTACCAATGAACAAATATATGTTGAGCTTTTAATCATCATCTAAACAATGATATTCTGTATTATTTGTGTAAAGTTCGACCTACTATTATATATACATAGTGCAACTGTCCTGAAAATCTCCCATATTGGTAAAAAATAGCAAAATAATCAATTCCTGTATCAATGGTGTACAGCAAGTCGTGCAACAAGATCTGGTACTAGTTTTATCAAAGAAACTTTATCAGACTGTGTAAGGAACACAAAGGTAGCATTTACAGATCACGGTCCATCCACAACAGTTCAAAGGAATGCAATAGAGATACAGTATATTATACAACCTTTGTGTGGCAGTGAAATGTTTGTTTTCTAATAGGACAATTTAGCCTCCAAATTATTTTAAGGAAACGAACAGGAATAAATCTGTATCAATCTGATTGATTAGTGGCTCAGAATCTATCTGCAGAAGATTGTCTGATGGATTTTTGTTCATTTTAAAAAAGATTAACTGTTCCTGATACTGTAGATGGTTATTAGGTAAAGAAAATTGCCTGGTTGTGGTTATACAGGTAAAAAATACTGACAATGGAAACAAACAAATTCCCCTACTTTAATTTGAATTAAAAAATAATATCTGCACTTTTTAAAAAAGAATATTTTTAATAAAAACTTGAATGCTCTGCACTTTTATGAGTGAAAGAAATTTAATGTCAGCACTCCTACAGTAAGTAAAGAAAACATCTTTTTCTAGAACCTTGCAAAAGGAGATCATGGACAATTGCTAAGCTAATCTGGTAAAAATAAATTCAGATTTTCAAGAAAAGAACTGCTGATTTCTTTTTCATAAAGCCTACCTTCACACAATCAGCACATTTGAAAGACATTTCTCTTTGTACTCCCATAAAGATTTTGTTGTAAGCTATATTTTTCCTGATAATGTTTTATAAAGATTTCCATGAGTGACCATGTGTAGCTTATGCTGCTTTTTGCTGTATTTGTATGATTTCCTTTCTTGTATTTTTGTATATTTGTAAGATGCTCCACAAAAGAATTCCTGCTAAGATTTTTTTTTTATTCTATTACTTGATACTTTATAGTGACAGATAGTTTAAATAGTGACAGAGCTTATGAGTGAATGCACTAAGGTAAGCATGATCGTATTCCAGGCCTATTTTTGTCATATCTTGCCTGTAGTTTCATGTACTGTAATTTAAGGAGTTTACGTGAAAATATTTTACTTGTAACACTTACACTGATATTTCTGGCCATATTATATCTCATTATGGTTTTTATCACACTCTACTTATGGCATCACACTCTACTCTCATGCTTTCTTGGGAATTTGTATTGAGAAAACCTTTGTCATGACTGTACAGTATTCTTTGATCAATTATAATTTCTCTAAGGTGAGGTTCTCATTTTGTTCATGCTTCAGTAAAAGCATGGCACAACCCATATTATGATTCCAAATTACTGAGTCCGGATGTTCATAGTTTTGAACTCACCAATATATATGAAAGATAGAATAATAGCAGGAAAGGTCCACATACAGTGATGTCCTATATTTTACAATACTATCAAGTGTCGGGGAAAATTACTTCTAAAAATTAAATCCATTACAGTTCCTAGTTGTTATTAGTTGTTATTATTAGTAATAAATTTAAATGTCATCAGTTACAATGATCTATCTAGTGTGTGTAAACTTGCTATGCAAAGTTTTATGTTCACTTTTAAAAATAATTTCCCTAACTTCGATGAATTGATAAATCAATTAATTTGAATGAATTACTTCTTAAAAGAAACTTTTCCAGACACTGTCTGTCAACAGTTTCTGTATTGAAAAAGACGTCAGAAGTCAGAATAATCAGAAGTATTCTTCCTAATTTTTTTGATTGGGAAAACAACTAGAATTTTTGTGTAATTTAATAATTTTCATTTAATTTTAAAGCAGTTAGCATCCTATCTTTCCTTGCAAGTCTTTTCCATGATATTTTAAGTTTATTGAAAAGGCCAAATGTCGTAGCTGTGGACATGAAATTTCTAAATTGTTTAAATTGTCCTATTTACGTTAACCAACGGGAGTTCTGTACATGTACACTGCAGGCCAAAAGTGTGCCCACCAGCATCCAATCTCAATTAAAAGATTTTTGAGTATTGGTATTTAAAATTGTTGGTCCAATAAGTATTCAAGAGAGAGAAAACACTCTAGAGACAGTTGGTGAAATTGCCCAATACTAGTTACAAAGCTTTAAAAATAACAGCAAGCCTGTTAGCAGCTCATATAATAAAAGTTTAATCTTTGGTGGAAAAAATACTTTTTGTTAGAGGCTAGTTATTGAATTCAAGCAGTCAGCAAAACAGTTTATACAGCATTTCAAGTCACATTTAATAGTAGATAAATACATTTAAATGAAAGCACTAGTTTACATCTTTGCACTTAATTGAAACATTTTAGTCTTTCAAATAACTATGTAAATCAAGTCATTTTAAAGTTTTTTTAAACAGCTTCATATCACAATCCATGGTGAAGAATCAATGAATTAGCCTCTTAGCAGAACTGAAAGAAAAAAAAAAACAACAATATTTTGATTCTGCCCAGAGAAAGCAATTCATTTTAGGAAGACATATCCTTTAAAACTGTCCTTTAACAGAAGAAAAAAAAGTAAAATCAGTCAGCAAATAACAGTCTATATTATTGGTTTTGGATGTTTGTTTTATTGATCAAGATGCTCTCTCTGGTCTCTTTTTTCTTCCTGCTCATTTGGCCATTTTGCTAAAAAATACATGTTGAAAAGTACCCATTTACCTAAACCAAAGCTGTTTTAAAAGGAAAAATATACATATGCAAAATTAAAATAAAAAAGCAAGTTTTAATCCCAGTGAGTCCAATGCTGCCTGGCAGTTTTAGAAGCTGTGATTATTAAGCTGGTCGCCTTTGTACCTGCTGCTTGTTCTGACCTTTGGAGCAGCATGAAGCTTTTGCAACCTGAATTGATCTGCCGAAGAGCCTGCCTCAGCTGCACGGCACTATAAAAGACAGGGGTTGGAGCAGTGGAGCAGTCTGGCTGTTGGGGTAGCTGAAGGGTAACAAAGGAAGGAGCTTTTCTTACCCATCATGGGTGACCCAAAGCTCTCTCTCCTGCTGCTCTTGATCACCTATGCCTTTGCACGTAAGTACCTGCACATCTTTTACTCTGATTTTATTTAATTACCTGCTCTCCCTAATGGCTCTCATGTCACTTATCAGAAATACATCAATTACAAGTGCCTACATTTCTGCGTACTTCTAAACGCTTCTCACATCCCTGTACTTTGTGTTTAATCAATTTTAACTGAATTTAAGAAACATATCATTCTAAAATGTTTGCTGTAATCTAAACCTGATGTTATTTAAAACGCATTGTTTAAGAATATCACATTAAAATAAATGAATAAAATAGAGTGACACAATTATCACTTCTAAATGATATAATATTTAATATATAAATGGTATTTAATATTTAGAAATACACAGAATGGATGTTCAATAAATATTGTAATTGTGCTACTTGTTATTTATGTACTGTTGAAACAGAATAACCGTAGAATACAGTAGACTGACATGATTTTCATGATTAATTTAATATTAAGTTATATTCATATTCATACAATTAAAGATTAGGAGCTTGTAGACTGATGAAATTATTACCATAATGCTGCATCTTCAAAAGTTACGAAAAACCTTATTCGGGTATTTTATTTTATAGAACAAGATAATGAGAGTACTGATGAACAAAGTCCAACCTGTTTACGTAAGTAGTTTCAGTGACATACTTCATTTTCATTAAATTAAATATTACTGGATAAAACACTACAGGAATGCTGCCGTGAAAGACCTAGGAGACCTAATGCATTCAATCACATTTCAACCTGTATGCAAATTTGTCTGAAGAAGTCTGAAAGAAAGTATTGGAATTGAGGACCATTAGAAGCGGATTTTGAAATGCTGGAGGAGATTTTAAGCATTTTGAAATGGAGTGTTTGAACTACAGATTCTTTTCTAGGTATATCATAACAGGATGTTGTTGACTCAAGAAACTGGCAGAACTATCTGTCCATCAGTAAGGGTTCAAAGTTCTAGTGTACAAGTGATGATTTGGAACTAAAATTGTTTGCCTCAGGTTTATGAAACTTTGGACATACAGAACAATATGGCAATGACGCCCCCATGTGGATCTTTAACTGTACTGTGACCTGATCTAGAGTATTTTTTTATGTAGACAGCGTGACATAAAGATTTTGGCAAAGTAAATGTTATTAAACTTGTTTTCCATATCATACATTTGGAAACAATGCAAATTACATATAAAAGAAAATCACAAAATAAACTTGAATATGCTTGGATAAGCTTGAATGTGCAATTGTTGTATTGCTCCGACTATAGATATGATTCATTTGCCATATTGAAGCTGCTTATACCTGATTTATTTATCTGTATTTTTAAAAGTTTCAACAAGATTTAAGAACTTGAAGAAATATGTATACCGATACGAAGCAGAAAGTCAAAATGGAGTGACTGGCACAGCAAACCTCAGGAATGGACCAAGAATCACATGCATGGTAGGTCCATTATAGAGATTTTTATATTTTAATTTAATCATATCACAATTATTTAATGACATGTAACTGCAAAATGAACTAGAAGCAAATAGAAGCAATACTTTTGTGTTCTGTCTCTTGTAATTTTGTACTTCAGGTTCTTTAGATACATCATTTAAGTGATTTTAAATATTTTAAATGTTTTTTTTTTAGTTTGAAAAATAAAATAAAATTGCCAATCAAAGGAGCAGCAACATTCCAGCTCCCTCCTTTTCCCACTGTTGTCAATCTAAACCTGTTTTAACCAATTAACTGATTCAACTTTAAAATTTAATTTAGCAAAGTTCAACAAGGTGTGCGTTGAAAACCGTGCTAAGCTAAACAATGATCAGCACAATCAGGCCTCATCTGTCTGCAATGTGATTTGTCTCTGTCTCCCCATGTAGGTAGAGCTGGAAGTCCCAAGGACATGTAACTTCATCATGCGAACCACAGACTGCACCCTGAGTGAGGTGAAGCTCATTGATCCTCAGGGAAGGCTGGTGTACAGTCAGAGTCCCAGTGCCGCTGCCTTCAAGTCTGCTATGGAGAAGTAAGACTCAAAATCCTGTGCCACTGCATCCTTCATAAGTCCCATGAACACATGGAATCCAACTGGTCATATGACTAGTTGATGCCTTTCCGAGGAATATGTCTAAGAATATGCTGACTTTTTCCATGACTGTGTAAATACTTATGATATGTAATTTTAATACTATTAAAAGAAGAAGGATATTTTCAAAAAAGTGCCACGATGGATCACAGCAGTGAATGAATGTAGTTATAAAGTATTTATTTGGTAAATTAATGATTTTGGAATTCTATTCATGTTGTTGTACAATGATAATGATTATAATAATGACAAAGTTAATCCAATTCAAGCCACCTGGAGGTTTGTTCACAGTTACAGCAATATGAAAATAGGTACATTGGAATGAGTCAGGTTTAAACTTTCATTGTGTTAACACTCCTCATTCCAACCTTTCCAGAAACATCCTGATGTTCCAAATTGAGCATGGAACAAAGGTCACTCTATTCCCAAAGAGTGAAGAGCCCACCAATATTTTGAATATCAAGAGAGGAATCATTTCAGCCCTCATGGCCCCAGCAGACAACGAGCAGCAGAATGAGGACATGGTAAGCAAAGCTTTGACAAACAGCATCACTTTTAGTTAATGTAATTTTAATTTGAGCATTTTGCTTAATGTAGCTGTCACATCTCATTTTTAATGTCTTCCCAATTTCAGAAGGGTAATCTGTTTTTATTATCAGGCAACTTATAAGAACATAAGAGCAGTAATAAACAAGAGAGGGCCATTTAACACATCTATCCCACTTGAGCATTTTGTTATTGAGGATATGCTCAGTATCGATCACATCAGAAAACAACAAATGGGTCATCTCCTCTTACCAAACGTTGTCCATTTGATGTTTCTGACTTCACTATCTGGGTTTCTGGTATTGAATTGTGTAGAATGCTGGTTAAAAATTGTACCGACAGATACAGATACAAACTACAGATTTGCATTTGTCAAATAGCATTGCACTAATACCAAACTCTGTTATGCATTCCACAAGCAAAACATATAAATAGTAATACTAAATATAAAACTTTACTTTGACTCCTTTTCAGCAAAGTACAAGAAAAGGCAGCACACTATAATAATAGATTCAATGGTGGGTGTTGTAAAAACATTTTATGAAGTATGTGTGCTGTGCTGTTTAGCAAGTAAATAATAAGAAGACAATTGAAGATAGATAGTTGGCTCAGATCATCTTGATTGATATGATTATTAGTAAATATTGGAAAAACAATATATGTATATTAGATCTTTCTTACATTTGCTCTTCTATGTTTATGTGTATTTTGTTTCAGCAAACCTTGCATGGTCAATGCAGAAGTGTGGTGACTGCCAATTCAGCCACAGATGTGACTGTCACCAGAGACCTTAGTGAATGTGACCGCTTCCACCCCAAACAAGACTATACAAGCCCACTAGCTCTTATCTCTGGAATGGTAAGGCATTTGACTTTGAGTCAGAATTCTTGTGCCACATTTCTTTGTATGTTTATAAACTACTTAATGGATTTTACTTATTGATTTCATTATAAAAATTATTTTATGATAAACTAATGGACTGTACTTTCCATGCAAAGAAAAACACCAACTAGCAACTGTAAGATGCTGTATGTATGAATGTACAATATACGTACACATGTAACATCATTTGAAAACAAGACAAATAACTGTGAAGTGTACATTTATATGGATTCTGTTTCTGTTTAGGAATCCAATAAACTACTCTTTTTTAGATCAGGTAAAAAAACCTGTATTTAAATGATGTTACGGTGCTTTGTGAGTGTGGGTTGAACTGTATGATCACAGGTTCGAGCCTGGTTCATTAGCCAGCTGTAACCAGGATTGTCCAACTGATCGTACGTACAATTTCCTGCATACAGCAGATCGTATGGTGAAATCTGTCATCCAGGTCTCTCTTGGCTCTTAGCAACAGTGACCCCTCCAGCTGTCTTCTCCAACCGGTTCTAAGCTTCTGGTAATGCGCTGTGCTGCCCATGATGTGTTGAAGGACCAGTGGTTCAAAGTTGATCTCATTCTCCCCAGGGTCACGTGATTAGCTTTTCATAGGCCATTCCAAATTGGGTGGGTCTGTTACAGACGTATTTGACTTTTCCAATCTTAAATAAAAAAGGCATGAAAATGGTATCTAACTGGCATTTATAGCTGGTCATCACACATAAAACTAGAACCATAAATTTGAGATTATCTGTTAATTACATTTTTTCTTTTTTGTTTGCAGCATATACCCCTCTCAAATCTGATCAGCAGTAGCCAGACGTGCAATTACCAATTTGATCCTAAAAGAAAACATGTGACTGGAGCTACCTGTATTGAGAAATACATCTTTTTACCATTCTCTCACAAGTAAGTTAAGTCCTAGAAACAAACAGAAAGGATGCTTTCAACAGAGATTACATCTTTGAAATGCTGGTTGCTCTATTCTAGTTCTAAGTTTCTCCAATATTTCTGTCTTCAAAAACAGAAATGAACATGGAATCTCATCACATGTGAAGCAAACGTTGACTCTGAAAGATTCAACCAAGATCAACAACAGAATCTTTGAGCCTTCTGAAAGTAAGAATTGAATAATTATTTATACCCACATTCAATGGTTATTTCTTGGGTTTTTTTATGAAAAGGGACCTTATTCCTTAGGATAATCAAAAAGATTAAAATAATGTTTTCTAAATTGTTTATTATTCATAAAATATAGTATAAAATAAAAGCAGGCAAGTTATCTATGGAGAAAGAGAATTAGAAAAAGGACTGACATTTTTTTAATTAATTGTAAAATGATCAAGTAATTTAAAGAGTCAACATAATTAGCAGATGATAGTTCTGCCTTGAAAAATAAAGTGTAGGCTGAAGAAAAAAATTAAATTATCTTCAAATTCTCAACACAATTTGTATTTTTGAAGAAGGTAAAACTATAATTTTACATTTTAGCTGTGAGGAAGCCTGTCTAATTTGCCCTTCCCTACAAATTATTACAGAGATACATTTTTATTAGATTAGTTTAATTTTTAATATATTGTTAATTTTTGTGCTTTGCCCCACATCCCCTAAGATGGTGAAAATAAAGGTTTTAAATATAAAATATCTGTAGGTTTGGAAGAGCAGCAGGGTTGAGTCGGACACTGACTAAGCTGGATGTCCCTGTATCTAGGTAATGCCTTTCCTCGAAGTCTTTTCATGGAGCACTCTGATGACAAATCCCCTGTTCAGAGCAAGGACGCTGTCCTCACTATCCTCAGAGACCTGAGCAACCTTCCCAAGACACAGCAACGCCAGCAGAGAGCTAGTCTCTTCCAGAAGCTTGTCACTGAGCTGAGAGCTTTAAAAAATGAGACCCTGGGTGCAATGGTGAAGGAAATGGGAGAGATATCAAGGTAAACTATGTAACCCTACTCGTAAAACTATTGTGTCAAAAAAACTGCTGAGGTTTTTGGTGGAGAAATGACAAGGCAGGAATTTCATGAAATTAAGAATTGAGTCACTTACTGTAGGTTTTGCATCATATCAATGTCATGATAATCGTGGTTTGCGCTTTAATTAAATTAAATTCATGTATGTACTGTATGTTCAATTTAATTTTATTCAATTTATTCTGCAGAATTTTAAATTTCCCAACACATGCAGTATTGGCATATTGGCAACATACATATTGGCAAATGTAAAATGTGCTTAATTAAACATGTTGTCCTCTTATTTTGGATCCCAGTGATCAGTGGTCCAAAGACATGCTGGAAGGTTAATTGGCTTCTGGGAAAACTGGCCCTGGTGTGTGTGTGTGTGTGTGTGTGTGTGTGTGTGTGTGTGTGTTGTTTCTGTGTGTGCCCTGTGATGCACTGGTGTCCCGTCCAGCGTGTGTCCTGACTTGCTCCCATTGCTTTCCGGGAGAGGCCTCATTTCCCTCAGGACCCTGCATTGGATAAAGTGTTAAGAAAATGGATGGATGATTTATTGATATGCTTATGTTTCCAGCATGATCACAATGCAAGCCCTGCCTCAATGTGGAACCCCAGAGTGCACCAGTGCCATGCTCCAGGTTTTGAGGACATCCGATTCCTCAGGTATCGCAGTGGACGCAGCCGTTTATGCCCTGGGGCTGCTCTCTTCTCCCTGCAGCAAGCGTGTCCGAGAAATGCTCAGCATGGCTCAGCACAGGCAGAGCAGGGCCACGCTCTATGGTCTCAGCAGCAGTGTCAAAAAGTGAGTCATGGTTCTTCTACATCCATTACACAAAGTTAATAAAAAAGTTAACAGCCATTTAATAACTGGTGCTGTATTCAAACAAGAATCTTATAATTTAAGTCATGTCTCTTGGCTTATTGACAATGTAAACTATGTAAAGGTTAGATGCAGCTGTACTAAGCTATAGCAAAACTATGTTAGTGTAAACAGAACAACCTTTTATTTCTTCACTATACATAAGAAGTGCCTACAATAAAGCAAAATTGTAATAAATATACAGCTTAGAAAATGCCTAATATCAGGCTATGATTAACAGAGCAGTGTTTTAAAGCTCTCTTTCTCAGTCAAATTTTAAAATTGTTTTCAATCTTTCTATGAATTCTTTGTAGTTATTTATATGAGTATGTGCCACCAGATGTCGCTGCTTGCAGCTTGTGACAACAATAAAAACTTATGGGAAGAATGAGTGCATTATTGTTACGATAAGCATTTTAAACAGTATCTGTAGGTACACACTGAATTTTACATTTATTAAAGATTTGAAATGTATTTACTCTTTCTAGGTTTTATCAGAATGAAGGCAAAGTAACACCTGAAGTGACAGAAGTGGCGGAATTCATGGCTTTCATGCTTGGCAGTGATTGCTCAGGCGATGAGGACCAAACCTACCTGACTTTGCGGGTGTGTATTCACTTGTTGTTGTACAGTACGTCACTGCACTGGCTCCACTGCCTGTTCATCATGTTGGCTTCATTTGCAGGAAGACTGAAAGTTAACTACAAAACTAAATTGCATTTTGGTTGATGGAATATCGAGAATGGTTGTTATTATACGTGAATCGTCATAATGTTGTGTTCTTTTTCTTTTAAAAGGTTTTATTTAAAATGCTTCAAAACAAAAGGAATTTCAAATGTCTTAAGTAAAGGATTTCGGCAATGTGCTGGACTTTAATGTTGGATGTGAGCCGTGTACTGGAAAATAGAACGTTGTTTCACTTTACAAAAACAAGGACACAACAAGTCAGAAAATAAACCCCAGAACTGACTGCTGAGTCTATGTCTGCCTTAAAAACATGCAAAGCTGAATTTAACTTAAATTCTTGTTTGGTTCCAGGCAATTGGGAACATGGGAGGTGCAATGGAAGCAGCAAGCCCTAAACTGAAATCCACTATTCTCAAGTGTGTTAAACATAAGTCAACCACACCTGCTGTTCAGCAGGCAGCTATCCAGGCTTTCAGGCAAATGACCATTACTGATGAGGTAAAAGCCTATACCTTTGTTTTGTGATTCCTTGGTTATTGAATATACTCCAGTGAATGTACCCGTCACTAAAACTAAAAGTGTTTTAGAGATCTTCCTTATTAAAGAAATCATACAACTGAAGAAAAGAACAGGCAATCAGTGCACGAACATTTTTTACTTCAGAAATGTGTTAGTATTTCCCATCCATGCATCTTAAAGGTGATTAACAATTTTTTAAAAAATGAGCAAATAAACAAAGCAAATAAAAAAAAATATTTCAGGAATTTTATTTTGATGAAATGGGATGAATAGACTCATTTGCAACCATTCTTAAGTACTTTTGGTTATCTTTCAGGTGCGCAGCATTCTTCTTCAGACCCTGCAGGATATGAGTGGGTCTGTTCAGAAGCGAGTGGCTGCCTACCTGATGCTCATGAGAAACCCTTCTCCCTCCGACCTCAACAAACTGACCCGTATACTGGTAAAGGAGAAGAATGAGCAAGTCAGAAACTTCATTGCCTCCCACATCACCAACATTCTGGATTCCAAGGAGCCCTCTGTCCAGGGGTAAGCGCACTCCAACTCACAAGGCAAAAAACAAGACGATACAAGGCAATCCTGCATCTCCCACTAAATGTTTTTACAGACATTTCAAGTTTAATGTACTGTAGTTTCACTGACTTTGCTTTACCAAGACTTGGTATCCATTGGCACTAAAATGTATACAGCACATGCAAGGAAGAGACTATTGTAGACTGCCCCAGGAAAGGATTAATATTTATGATAAATCCCATGAAATCACAATTCCAGATACTTTTTATGTCTCTAAACAGTCTACCAGTTTAAGTATTTTATATGCACTCACTAATAGATATTCAACCACTCTAGGTTTTCATATCCATACTTATTGTTGCCATCATCAATGTAAAATGCAAACTAGATTTTGCATGTACAGAATAACACTAAAATACTGACCTGACAAAGAAGCAGCTACCTTTATCCATCTCTAAAGCTCACTTTATCCTTTGAGGTGAAATTATTACATAGTATAGTATTAGTATTACATAGTATAACACCAAACAATTTACAGACTGTTCACTTAAAATTGTATGCTTATAAACCCAATTTCTTTTTTTACAACAGACTAAGGGAAAAAATAATAGCTCTCAAAAGCTTTGAAGTACCAGTTGTCGAGGGCTCAAGGAAATTCTCTCGCAACTATAAGATTTCCTCATCTATGCCATTACAAGAGGAACCTCTTGAAGCCAGTATGCAAGGAAACATGATTTTTGATCCAAGTGGCTACATGCCCAGGGAAGTCATGCTGGAGACTACACTTAAAGCCTTTGGATACAACATTGACATGTTCGAGGTACGAGAGATACTTTTGAATATGCCTGCTTTTCTAAAGTGAAGCACAGCAAAAGCACTGTAGCACAAACCAATTTATATTACTCTTCAGGTTTAAATATCCTCTTTGGATTCAATTTGCAAGCACCTTATTTTAATTCTCTCTTTCCACGCAAAGGTTGGCCTTGAGGGAAATGGATTTGAACCAACCATTGATGCCCTATTTGGAGAGAAGGGGTTTTTCCCAGACAGTGCAATGAAGGCAATGTACTGGGCAGAAAACAAGATGCCTGACAAAGTCAATGAAGTTCTTAAGAACTGGGTTGCACCTCTGAAGAGCGAAAAAGTAAAGAGAGAGGTACAGTATAAGACAAATTTGTCCTCTAATACCCAGATACCCAGCACTTAATGTTTAATTTTCCAAATTTTACCATAATTCTATTTTCATATCTCATAGATCCCAGTGGACATTGTGAAGGAAGTGAGTCGCAACTTTAACAGGCTGATGAAGGATTTGAAATCTCAGAAGTCCCCCGAGGCAATGGCGTACTTGAGGATCATGGAAACTGAACTTGGATACATAAAAGCTAGTGACCTGAAATACGTTGTACAGATGGCTGAGACGCTTGCAACATCCATTTCAACAGTCCCTTCAAAGGTACTGTGTAGTTTAATTCGAATCATAAAATAGATTCTTGGGAGCTACCACATACTGTAGGAAGAATGTTTTCTGAGATAAATGGGATCTGCATATCAGTACACCTACCTAGCGTATTTAAGGTTACATGCATGAACGTTTCTTCATTACAGGGATTTATTACATCAAAAATATTTGTATTTTTAAAATCCGCAGTAAATACCAACAGATTTGATTTTGCGTGTTTAGTTATACATACTGTAATAATGCGTGATATGTTAACTTGTAGTCAAAATTATTTTTTGACTAATGATAGAAATGTAATGAATAATTGTCTAAACAAATTTCAAAACTGTAAACTTTACATATGTAAAATGAGAAATGAAACTAAAAGCATCTGATGTTTTTAATTCTTCTCAATATATAAATTAATACTAAGTTCTCAGTACTTTTCATATTTCATTTTAAACTTATTAGAAATATGAAACAACAAATATCTAATTAGCTTTCTATTAACCTGATGCATTAACAGAGTATTTGTGTCTTTTTGTTTTAGATTGCCAAATCTCTGCTATCTGGCACAGACAATGAGATTTTTGCTCATTACATTTTCATGGACAATGAATTCTCCCTCCCTACATCTACTGGCTTTCCACTGAAATTCTCATTGTCTGGAGTTTTTGCTCCTGGTGCTAAGGGTGGTCTGAAAATGACACCGGAAATGGTAAATACAAATATGCAGGCTGGGTCTGTTGTTCTATCAACAGATATTGATCTCTAATATCAAAAGGCAGTAACCATTGTGATCAAAAGCTATTTTTTATTTTAAAATTATACAGTCTTGTGAATATGAATTTATGTTCAGTGGTTTACAAAACCTTTGCTCTTTTGTTTTATAGTATGTGCATCAGCATTTTACATCGTACATCGGCTATTAAAGTGATCTTATTTTGCACAAATACATTCCTGGTTACATTTCAGTAAACCTAAGGATAAATTAATAACAATACAGCTGACACCTCTGATTTAAAGGAATAGGAGACAAAAGACTTTAAGTGTGTGTAGAGCTGATGGGGATATTTCCGAAGTCATTTCTCACAATAATGGTTTTTCACCCACAGAAAGAACTGAGCTTCATGCCATCGGTGGGAGTAGAGTTTGTGACACACATGGGCGTTCATATCCCAGAGTTCAACACAGCCGGTGTGGAGATGCACACCAATATCTACCATGAAAGTGCATTTAATGCTAAACTGACCATGAAAGGAAACCAAGTCAAATTATCCATTCCAGCACCTCAGGGGCCCACCCAGCTCTTCAGTATCAGGTAGGCTTCACATATCACCAACATTAGCTTAGTCTGCTTTCGTTAAAATAAACTTCAGGGCATTGTAACGGAATTGAACCCGTGTTTATGATTACTTATTGATCATTCTCTGTTTTTTAATTACAGCAACAAACTTCTGTCCGTGTCCTCCACTCAGACTGAGATAGTGCCTCCTCTGGTGGAAAGCAGAACTGACTCTGTAACATGCAGGCCCCTGCTCACTGGTCTGCAGTATTGCACCACTGTTCGTTATTCCAATGCCAGCTCCACAGATTCAGCTCCATACTATCCACTAACCGGAGAAACAAGGTTCGTGGAAACTTGAGATGTCATGCAGGAAATATTTCCTTTTTTATGTGCAAACATGGAGAGTTATCATGCTGAATACTTTACACCTGTCATTTACATGTTATAGATTGGTGTAGTTACAGTATTTACAAGGATCTATGATAATAACATGTGGGAATTAAAACCTTCTAAAAAACCTGAGAATTAAAAAATATGTTTTGTGCCACTTATCAAAAAATAAATGACTCATGGTTTGCAATTGCGTAATTCCAAGGAAATGAAATCCCGAAATGACCGTGAAACATTTTTTAGGTTTGCTCTGGAGGTTCAGCCCACAGGAGAAGTCACAGAATACTCTGCAACAGTTGGCTATGAGGTCGCAAGAGAAGGACGTCAAAAAATTGACACTGTTAAAATAATTCTTCAAGCAGAAGGTACGTGTCTCTGTGAAAGCGGAAAAAACTATTTGGTTTTTCTGTTCAACAGTACTGACCTGGTACCTTACATACAGAGCCACAGAGGCATAATTATAATGGATGAGTTCAATGTTTTTTTCTTCCATTATACTGTACTTTTATTGGAACTCAAATGAGGCTAAAAAGATTGAAGAACGCTGCCTTAGCTCATATTACTGTATACAGTATAATGCTCAGAGTGTAAACTACTAAAAACTATTAGGGTAAAAAATCTTTTAAAATGTACTTTATGTCTTCTTTGGACCAAGGATCTCAAAGTTCAGAAGCCTCAGTTACTCTGAAGTACAACAGAAACAAGATGACCATGAGCAGTGACCTCCAAATACCAGATTATGATATTGAAACCGGGATTAAACTTGGGGTCAACACAGAAGCCATGGTTAAGGGAAAGAAGACGTATGTTCTCACTGTCGATGTCACAAACAAGAAAGTCCCAGAGTTGTCACTAGTTGGCCATGCAAGGTAATATTTTCTTATGTACAGTATGTCATATATATTGTTAAGCCATTCTTAACACTGTCAATGGCATCTCCCACAACACTTCAGAAGCATAGCTCAAACAGGGAGTTGCATCCTCTTCTCCGTTGTTGCCTGAGTGTTCCAGCCCAAAACACACATTTGTGTGTGTGTGTTAGGGGGAACTGTTGGCACTGATATTTGTTTTTTTGCAGACTTGAGGGAATGAAGGATGGCCTACTTCAGGGCCAGCTGACGATCCCTTCGCTCAAAATTGATGCTATTACGACTGCCACCATTAAGAGCAGCGGTGGACTGACCGTGCAGCTTGACTCATCTGTCAAGATCCCAGAGTCTTCCTCCGTGCAAAGAGCCACCTTCAGATATGGTACTCCTCACGTACCTTGTTGTGACATTGCTCTAAAAATATACTGAGAAGTATTGAAATGCAATAAATGCTATTGGTTCCTATAATTTATTGTGTTTTAATGCATTGCATTAAATTATAGCATATAATTATAGTGTGCATATACTGTATATAAAATATGAATTGATAAATAATTTAAAACTTGATCTCCTTCACCTTCCTCGCAAAGAGTTCACCATTCTTCTTTTAAATGTATTGTATTTTACAGAGTGTTAATCTTTTTGATAGAAAAATATGAAGTTTGGATGTGGCTGATAGTTGTCACTTACTGTAAGTACCTTTCTCCCTGTCCTAGATGATAACAAAGTGGAGATTGAATTGAAGTCAGATGTGAACTCAGAGGTTACAAAGTTTCTCCCTGACCCTGAACAGTACCAGAAGTACCTGAATAAGTATGTTGATGACATCCTGGAACAAAAAGTGGCTAAGACTGACATGAAGCTTCGTCACATCGTTTCCAAGTCAATTGAGGTTAGACAACAATGCATCCTTTCTGGTTAAAGATGTGTAGGGTAGAGGTGGAAAAGGTGGTAAAATCAGGATACATTACTTCAACCCTCAGTTCCTTAAATTTGGGTTTGAAGTTTGATACAATCATACTAAAAGTTCATTTCTCTCTATTTACCATATCCCAATATGAAAACCAGTTCGTTCTCAATAATGCAGTCTGGAAATGTAAGAAATCGTTCTTCATGCCTCATTCAGGTTCAGTTTGATATTCAATGCTATTTCCCTTTGGAAGTTCAAGCCCTCCAAACAGACATTTAAATCGCATTTGCTGAAACCTGAGAAACCACAACACAGTGTTTCTCTATAGCATGAAAAAGGTGGACAAAAGGATTTGATTTAACTTCATAAAAGAAATAGTATGTACATATTCTTAGCATTTGTCAATGCCATCTAGGAAATAAGCTTTGAAATGATTCTATGTGCTTCTGAGGGGTTATAGTTTTACAAAATTCAAGTATTTCTATGACTGTTGGTCACTTACATTTAAGGTTAACAGAATGTTAATACGACATGAAAGAATTACTGTGCTTCAACAAATTTTGTTTTCTTTTTGAAAATATAATTTGCAAATGATCTCTTTTCAACAGGCAGGAAACATCTGGTTGGATAAAATGGCAAAGGATTTTCCCTACATTGAAAATCATTGGATCAAGAGAAATATTCCAGAAAACATCCTTTTCTCCTTCCCAGAGAAACTCTACATGAAATCGTAAGTTGGACTGAGTCTACAAATGTAATTTAGAATTTTTCTATATTAAAAAAACAAGGACATTAATAAAATACTTTTTTTGTTATGGGTTGATAAAATGTGTTTTTTTTTCAGTTACCATTCTTGCTACAGAGACAGTTTAAGACAGGCGGAACCATATTTTGTTGACGTACAAAAATTATAATATAATTTCTCCATTTTGGTGTACAAATACAGTCTATTTTTATTTATGTTTATATCTTACTTAAATATATAGAATTTCTTGGGATAAACCCATTCCATTAAGCTTCATTTAAGTTTAGGACTCCCTAACCAGCAGTGACAATTGGCAGAGGGCTGCCTGGGGTAATTTGGGATTAATCATCCAGTTTTCTCAGAGCTGTCTGTGACACAGTGCCCCTGGAGACCTTTTGGGAAATTGCAGCCTATAAGACAAGAAGCTCGAAGGTGGGCAGGTTGGCGGACTCTGCCTACTGTATACTTCCGCACTTTCCCTTGAATGTGAAGTCTGGGGTTCAGTGTCATGAGCTGCAACATGCAAAACATGTAATAGACGATTGGGTGTAATCATACTAATTGGCAATCTAAATTTATTTTTTTAAGTCACCTTTACAATTTTACAAAGTTGATTGTATGTGAATTAAAATTGTGTATTAAGAAAGGTAATTCTGTTGATAACTAACATGCATTAATACCTTAGGCATGGGGTCTTGCTGTTTGCCATTAGGAACTACAGCACTGGCTTTTATGTGCAGTGTATATATTGCACATTTTATAGTGCTTCAAATAGACTGACAGCAGAATAACAAAAATCCCAGAAAAAGACTTCTTTAAGAGCCTGTACTAGAGGACCACCATTAGTGTTAACATTAGTGCAGCATTTTTTAAAGATGTTAAAGCAATATAGTTTCTGATCCATTTTCTATGGTCTGAATTTATTTGAGCCTAAGTAGCCAAACAAATTTAATTTTCACTTGCACCACAAGTGCAGTGGTAATGTATATAACACCACTATAAGACATGACTATTATGTGGTTAACTATAACTTTGTCTTAAGAAATGTGGTTGCACATCACTAATACATTTCTTAAGTATATAAGATTTAGTGAAAATGTTTGATACAGTACACTTACTGTATATGGGTTAATTTTTACAAAATAGCAATACATGGTTTTAGTAACCATATTTATAAAAATCATTCTTTTTAAAAATGGAATTGAGTAATCTGAGTAATTATTCCATGTTCTGTTTTTTCTCCCCACAGTGACAGCTTGTTCAGATACCAGTTCAACAAAGATAAGTTTACCATCAATGTTCCACTGCCATTTGGAGGAAAAACTTCTGAGGATTTGAATTTTCCCAAAACTATGTATTCTCCTCCACTAGTTCTGCCAAAATTGGGAATCAATATTCCTACCAGGGAGTTCAACATTCCTTCTTTCAGCATTCCCCAAACATATGAGCTCAGTGTGCCCCTTCTTGGAGTTGCTGAACTATCTACTAGGCTCCAGAGCAACCTCTATAACTGGACAGCTTCCGTAAGTGGTGGAAATCAGACAACAGACACTCATAACTTCATTGCAAAGTATCAAGTCATGGCTGAGTGCCCAGTTGAGCTCCTTTCTTACAAAATAGAAGGTAAAGGTATTATTTTATGTTCTCTGCATTTTATTCTGTAATATTATGTAAAATATGTTTCTATTTATATTTGTATCTGTTGTGAATGTGAAACCAGTTATAAAATGGTAATTTCTTATTTTATACACCTTGCTTCAGCAGCTGTTTATTTTACAACAATTTAATAATAAGATTTCTTAATAATTTAATACATATAGATATATTCCTTTAGTGTTGTTTTCATCATGACTTAAATCAGTGATGCATTTGATGAAGCTCTACTGAATACTGTACATCTTAACATACTTCCAGTGATGTTCAAGTAGTAGCAGTATACTATTGCTGAAAATAATTCTAATTTCATTTTGAAAAACTAAGAAAAAAACTGAAATCCGCCTTATTTGTATATTTTCCATCTTAATGATTTTGATTTTAGATTCACACTTTATTGAAGACAATGATTTGACGCATAATACTCATTTTTCTGATTTTAAGACAATGTTTTGTTTGTTGTTTTGTTTTTGTGCAGGCACTGGACTGATCCATGTGAATTCTGATGAAATGTTTAGGTATACAGTCAAAGGATCCTTGCAGCACAAACTCCTTGATGCAAGTTTCAGTTGGTCTGAAGCTGGTACTTTAAATGAGAATCTTAATGCTAGAGCCATATACACCTTTGACGCCTCCAGCATTTTGGGAATTAAATCATCTTTGATCTACTCATCAGAACTTACTGGTACATTTGACGAATTTAAGACTGATGCAATTGTGAATGGATCAATCAGACTGGGACCACTATACAGCAATGCATGGTACACTGTAACATATGTTATCAATCCAAGGAACTATGAAGCAAATGGAGAATCCTGGCTGAAGCTGGATACGTCCTTCCTTCAGGCCCAGAACAGAATAAAAGGATCCTATGCCAATGAAGTGCTATCTATCACATCCAACACAAATGCACACAATGATGCTCTTAAACACATCGGCGAACTAAGTTATAAGGATGGCAACCTCTTGCTAAAGTCAGACGCAGCTGCAAGGTATCTCAGCAAAACACTGCGCAACACAATGGAACTTGCCCTTTCCAGTCAGGCAGCAACAATCAGAGCGGAATCCCAAGCTGAATATTATAGAAACAGAGTCTATGCTCTTGTTTCTGGTTCTCTGAATGGCCGGGGCCTTGAAATCAATACCGATGGCAGCATCAATGTCGAGACAGGCCGTGGATCTCACAAGGCAACCCTGAGCATCACCCAGGATGGCTTGTCTACAAGTGGCACAACAACACTTCAGTGCATCCCATTGACATTTGAGAACAACTTCAATGGTGGGATTGGCCGATCTGGTGCTTCCCTTACTCTTAGTGCAAAGGGAGACATTTTGCAAGAAAGAGTGGAGCTCAATGTGGATAGCAAACTTGGATTGTCTGAAGCATACTTAAACACCATATACAAAATCAATATTCTGAATGTGAATGCAGTGAACAGAATGAACCTCAAAATCAACAATAAAGGCCTGGACTTTTCAAATAATATGATAGGATCATATGAGAAAATGAAGACAGAACAAATGCACTCACTGAGAATCACTCTATGGACTCTTGCCTTCCGTTCCAAAACCGACAACTTTATTTGTCCTGAAAATTCCTACAAACATGACATTAAGTTTGAAATGGAGCCTTTCATTGTTTCCTTGGACCTGAGCAATAATCTTAAGTTGCTAGCTGCTGATATTAACAATGTAGGTCAACTCAAAGTTAAACCTTACCAGATGAAGCTATCGGGAAGCATCAGAGGTGTGATGGGGAATGAGGAACTCAGACACAACTATGAAATCAGTTATGCAGATTTGACGGGTATTGCTAAATACCACACCATTGGCAATATTAAGGAAGCAAAGATAACCCATCATGCTGACATTGAAGTTGCTGGGCTTTCTGCTAAGTTTAGCAGTGAAGCCAGTTTAAAATCAAAATCCCTTCAATTTGAAAGCTCAATTCGCTCTCTAGCCATGCCTTTTACTCTCTCTGTTGATTCCCTTGTTAATGCTAATGGAGAACTTGACTTCTATGGGAAACACAGTGGCCAGCTCTTCAGTAAATTCCTAATGAAAGCGGAGCCCCTAGCCTTTACATATTCACATGATTACAGAGGATCAACCACTCATCAGCTGGACAGCAAAACACCTGTTGAAACACTTCTTGAAAACAAGCTGGTTGGTCTACTGACCCCATCTGGACAATCTGGAAACTGGAAGCTCAAAACAAAGCTCAACGAGAATGTATACAACCATGATATGCAAGCTTACAACAATGCTGAGATGATTGGTGTTGAACTTTCAGGTCAGGTGCTCACAGACTATTTTAGGAAACTAACTGACTCTTCTAGACTGTCTCGAGATGTTTCTAACCAGGTAGAAGAGTTCAGTATTTCAGGCTTTCTCAAATATGACAAAAACAAGGATATGCATATCATTCAGCTACCTTTTGTAGAAAGCCTACCTGCATTAATTGAACAAATAAAAGACACCCTAGTAGTTACGCTTGAGTCCTTGCAAAATTTTCTTAGAAGTCTTGATATAAATGACTTCATTCGCAAACACAAGGCACGTTTAGATAAATTGCCACAACAAGTGAATGACTACATGAAGACAATGGATTTGGAAAACAAGGTGGCTGAAGCCAAAAGGAAGGTGGTTGCATTCACAAAGGAGTATACTGTTAGTCTGGAAGACCTGGAAGGAGCCCTTGACAGACTCAGAGAACTCAATGAAAAAGCTCTAGTTGAACTGCAAAAGCAATTTAACAGTATCCTGAGTAATCTGAAAAATGCTTATGAAAAGGCTAATGTGGAAGAATTCATTGCAGATGTGCTGAGGTATATTTTAAATGAATTGGAAGCAATTGACAAGAAGTATGAAATCACCAAAACTGCTTTAAAGACAGTTAGAGGAATGGAAGAAATCATTCAGAAGTATGATCTGAAGAAACTAAAGGAAAGTGGTGCAGCCTGGTTGCAGGACCTAGATTCTAGATATGAAATAAAAGCACAAATCCAAAAGCAGTTAAATGACCTTAAAAGCCAAATTCAGAGCTTTGATCTCCAGAAGTTTGGTGATACCCTCACAGATAAAATGAAGTCTATAAATATTCAAGAATCCCTGAACAAACTAAAAGCTAATATCCCTACTGAAGAAATTGCAAAAGTTTTAGATGCCGTCAGAGACTTGATCCTAAATTGGATAGAGGACTATGAAATAACAGAAAAGATAAACAGTGCCTATGCGACACTGAAAGAGTTACTTGTAAAGTATGAAGTTGACAAGAAGGTGTATGTTCTGATGGATCAAGCAGTGCTACTGACTAAGCGGTATAAAATTAAAGAAACTGTACAATCAGCTGTAAATACTCTTAAAAGCATTGATGTTACAGCCTACACAGATAAAGCTCTACAAAAGCTGGATGACACAATTGGACAACTAAAAGAACTTGACTATAAGGAAGTGATTAACCAGCTGAATCAGTACATTGACTTTCTTCTACAAAAACTGAAGTCATTTAACTACAATGAATTTGTTGATGATGCCAATAAAAAAATCAGTGAAATGACAAAGTACATAAATGATCAGATTCAAGCATTTGAGATACCACAGAAAATTGAGGCTTTGCAGCAATATATAAGGGGAATACAAGGTGCTGCTGTATCTTATTTAGAACAATTAAGAGACACAAAAGTTGCAGAGGTTCTAAAGTGGATTCAAGACTTGGTTGATTCAACAGCCTTGTCTGAATTTAAAAAACGGGTTCAGGACAACCTGATGGACCTGAGACAAAGGATCAGCACAATGGACATTAAAAAGGAAATCCAACTGTATTTGCAGAGGGCAAGTGAATTCTACACTAACATGGTCAAATACATCACAGATCAATGGAGCAAAGTTTACCAAGAGATCAACAACCTAGCAGTACAATATGATGCTAAAGAAATTGTGGACACATTAAATGAAGCCCTGGAAAATGGATATGTTTTTCCTGAATATAGGATTGGTACAATCAGAATCCCATCATTTGAACTAAGTCTGCGAGCACTGAGGAAGGCAGAGTTTGAAACGCCTGAATTTACAGTTCCTCTAACAAATCTGGAAGTCCCATCAGTAAAAATCAACCTGAAAAAATTGCAAGAAATTCGCATACCAACCCGATTTACAACTCCAGAGATTACCATCCTCAACGAATTCACCATTCCATCCATAACCATTGACTTCAACGAAATCAAGCGAGGAATTATTTCAGTAGTAGACCGAATTCGAAATTTTGAAATCCAGCTCCCAGATCCTGACATCTATTTCAGGGATTTGAAAATTGCCTATCTCTCTGATCTACCTGATCTAACATTCCCAGAGATAACACTTTCTGAAATTAGATTCCCTGAATTTAGTATTCCAAAGCTTAATTTGGAAAACTTTGAAATGTCTATGCTTCAGATTCCCGAATATAAATTGCCACGCATACCTCATGAAGTCAGTGTCCCCACGTTTGGCAAGCTCTCTGGTGAGTTTAAAATAAAATCTCCCTTCTACAACCTGGTAACAACTGCTGAATTTCAGAATGCTACAAGCAACCAGAAAAATCCTCAATTCACAGCATCTGTTATCTCCCAGGCTACATCTACAGTAGAATATCTTGCTTATACTTTGGATATCACTGCACGTCTCTCATCTCAAAGAATGAGGACTCTACAATTAAGTGAGACTGTTAAGTTAAACCACAATGCTTTCTCGCTTAACCATCAAGGTGATTTAATATTCTCTGGCTCCTCGGTTCAGGGAACAAGTAAGACTACTGGAAAAGCCAGCACAGAAATTTATACTGCTGAACTCGTTAATAACATACGTGTCTCCTTAGAGAGTGGAGTTTCAGCAAGTATGGACACTACATACAATCACAACATGAATATCCCTGCAGCTGATATTTCAAGTCAGGCAACTGTGGCACAAAATGTTAACACTCGTCTGGAATCTGGAACTGTTTCAGTAACAGTCAGAAATACAGGAAGTGCAAAGTGGTCCATTCAAGATTACGTTGATGATGGCACTCACAAAAGCGACCTTCAGTTCAGCATCAATGTCAACACTGCTAAACTAACCTTTACAGCTGAAACAAATAGCAAAGCCTTGAAGATGAAACAAAATATTGAAGCTGAATCTGTCATCTTCAGCCATGCGACTCTAGACATTCGAGCTGAAACAGAAACGCCCTTCATCAAAAGCAGTGTTCTGCTTGTGAATGGAAAAGCTCATGTATCAGACATGAAAATAGAACTGGTGGCTACCCATGACAGTGATCTCACTGGCAGAATCAGTGGAACAATAGCTAATTCCATAAATTTTTTGGCCCATCCATTTGAAATCGTCCTGAACTCCAAAAACAAAGGGAATATGAAGATAAGTTTCCCACTGAAACTTATTGGAAAGATTGAGCTCTTCAATGGCTATGCACTGACTCTAAATTCTGGAGTTCAGCAGGTGAGTTGGCAGGCTGGAGCCCGGTTCAACCAGTATAAGTATTCCCACAATTTCACACTGGGAAACAACGAGAATGACATTGGGGTTTACGCAACAATGAACGGTGAAGCCAATCTGGACTTTTTAAATGTCCCTATTACAACCCCTGAAATTCCTGTGCCATACACCTCAATTAAAATTCCTTCAGTAAAGGAAATGTCTTTGTGGGAAAAAAGTGGCCTTAAGGAACTCTTGCGGACAACTCGACAGTCATTTGACTTGAATTTTAAGGTTCAGTATCAAAAAAATCTAGACATGCATGCCTTTTCTATTGACCTGGAGCCAATATACAAAACTATAAATGATAATATCAAATTACTTAATCAGAACTTTGAATATGGAAGAGATAATGCAGTCATCCTTCTCACAAACTCCTATAACAAAGCCAAAGAGCAGTATGAAAAATTTAAAATCGATACTTCAATCAACAAACTACCAAGAACATTCAGGATTCCTGGATATACTGTGCCAATATTGAATATAGAGGTCTCTCCATTCACAGCAGAATTGCCTGCATTTAGTTTTGTTATACCCAAAGAAGTCAGTACGCCTAGCTTTAGAGTACCAATGGTTGGTTTCTCAGTTCCAACATATACTCTAGTGCTTCCCTCATTGGAGTTGCCAGTTCTTCATGTGCCATCTACACTCCGCAAGCTCACTCTTCCTAAGTTCAAATTGCCCAGCATGCAAAATAACATCCTGATTCCTGCTATGGGCAACATAACCTATGATTTTTCACTGAAATCTACTGTGATCACTCTCAATGCAAATGCCGGGCTATACAATCAAACTGACATAGTAGCCCGGTTTGGTGCTTCTTCGACTTCAGTATTCGAAGTTCTTAAATTCAAGTTTGATGGGACAACAAGCCTGACAAGAAAGAGAGGTTTGAAACTGGCCACTGCCTTATCTTTAGAACATGTGAACATTGAGGGATCTCATGACAGCACTGTGAGTCTCACAAAGAAGAGCATGGATGCCTCTGTGACAACAAATGCCAAAGTCAGTTTACCAGTTCTTAATATGGAATTTAGTCAGGAGCTACTTGGAAACAGCAAGTCTAAACCCAATGTAGCCTCAAATATCAAACTGAAGTATAATTTCAATCTTCCCCTTATTGAGACAACTGGAAAGGGAACTGTTGAACAAAACATTGCTCTTGAAGGACTCACATCATACTTCTCTATGGAAACATCAACCAAAGGAAAGATTGATGGATCTACAGTGAAAAATCACAAGTTTTCTGGAACCATCAGTAATGAAGCAAATGTCTATCTCAATGCCAATGGACTTCGGTCAACGATGAAAACTGATGCAAATTCAAAGGTAGATGCCAAACGAATCAGGGTGTGGAATTTTGAACTAAATGAGAACTCAGCTCTGGAAGCATCTCCACGCCGTGTTTATGCAATGTTTAACTACACCAGCAACAATGAGGCCGTCGCCAAGTTATTCAACACTAAGGGCAGACAAACAGCCAAAGCGACACTGGACTTGGTTCCATCAATGTTGACAGCAGACCTTCAGATTGATGTGTCACAGCCAAGCAGTCTTTCTGAACAAGCAAGCATCTTTGAATCCCTAGCACTCAGTATCAGCTCTGAGAAGCAGCAGTTTACCTGGAGTGGAAAAAGGCAGATATCCTCAAATATCCTTGGTAATGATCTGCTTTTGTCAAACGATGAGCCTGAGGTGCGCTTAGATGTAAGTGGATCTTTGCAAGGACATGTGTCTTTCCTGAAGCAGGTGATACTACCAGTGTATGATAAGAGCTTATGGGATGTTCTGAAGTTTGATGTAACAACAAATGAAGAAAATCTGCAGTTTCTGAACTCTTCCACCTCCATTGTATACACCAAGAACAAAGATGGATATTTTTTCCCCTTGCCTGTACAAGCGCTAACTGATGGTGTTACAATCAACATTCCAGAAATAACATTAGCAGTACCTGAATGGGTTAAGAATCTTCCACAAAAGATTCAAGAAATTGACATTCCAATTGAGAATTTCAACATTCCTGACAAAGTTTCCATCCCTTCTGTTATCAATACACCAGCTTTTAACGTTCCCTTGACAACTCTGCGGGTACCATCATATACCATTGACTTCAAAAAGATTGAAATTCCCAAAAGGATCCGCACACTACCGTTTGACCTGACACTGCCCCATTTGCCAAACGTGAAGTTTCCGAAACTCAACATTGGAACAGACTATCTTAATAAGGTGAAATCCAAACTTCCTCACTTTTCAGTTAAAGTTCCTGAATTTGATATCACTATCTCATCCTTCACTCTTCCAAAAACCTTCACAGTTGGCACAAATACCATCCACCTGGATAGTATTGTGAATAAGATTTCCAACTTTGATCTGCCAACCATCACAATTCCGGAGCAAAAAATTGAGATTCCAGAACTGTCACTCAGTCTTCCTGCTGGAGTTTTCATTCCATATTTTGGTGCCCTTTCTGCTACCGTTAAAGTTGCATCACCAATTTACAATGTATCATGGACCACAAGCCTGGAAAACAAGTCCCCTTCCTTGGTGTCATCAGTCCGTTCCTCTTGCAGTTCAACACTGGTGTTCCTGGAGTATGACTTAGAAGGTAAAGCACTATTTAAAAATTATCCATAGATAAATAGAATAAATAGATCAATAATCTTTTGATTTGCTTTTGCTTCTTTATTTTGCAATGTTACTGTGAAAAATATATAGAACTAATCCATTTTATTATTTTTTATTCTTTATGTTTAGAAAAATATTTATTTTATCATGTGCATTAAGTTTGAAATGTTTTTTAATGTTTATAGTGTGGTAAATAAAAGTAAAAATCTTTATTTCAAGAATGTTAGCATTTATGATTCAGTAAGTGTTGATCCATTACAGGGAGTGCAACAGCAACTTACCAAGATGGAGCTTTAAGCCTGAATGGAAAATCCAGCTTCTCACACAGTGACCTCAGCATTGATATGAAACATGAGTACACCCAGAATCAAAGGTAGTGTGTTTTAACAGAAGTTCTTTTTAATATTTACTGTACTGTTGTTTTACATGTTCTTTTCAGTTTTTTGTGTCTCCTGGAGAAATGAATATACAGTTGATAAGGCTTTCAGTTGAACTTTTAGTGTCTAAAATATGGGTCAGAAGCCACAACCATGGCAGTTCAATGTAATAAAAACGGTCTTCATTATAAAGTCCCTGATGAAAGTCTGAAACTAAAGTATATTTTAAACAACTGAAAACTTTCCAACAGAAGTTTTAATCAATGTTTCCTATACAACATACTGTACATACTGTATAATCAACTGTTCATGTTGCTTATTGATACAAAACAAGTACCACCGATGGTGTGTATTTTTGGTAGCAGGGTTTCAATTTCTGTTATTTGCTGTCGATAAGGATTCTTCCTTCAGTGCATATGCACAACTTATTTTTTAGTCTCCTTCCCTCTCCCTCTCTCAGTTGATCCTCTATAATGTAGCTGAATAAACAGATACCCTCTGGTTGATAGCCTAAGAAATTGCTTATAATAAGCAACAAATGAAAAACGCTATTATGTATATGAATTGTATTCTGTTCTTTGTGTTTTTCAGAATGAAAAGAGAAGCTTCTCCAGATGGAAGGTACAGTACATATTTTAATTAGAACACAAAACAATAATAAATTCTTGACTTTAGTCCTTGGTATGCAGCAAAAATAAATTCTTGCTATTATCAGATTTATGTTTGAAGAAAAGAATGAATTAAGTCACAAATTCAATTTTCCATATGCTGTATATGCTGTAACATGTGACCATTGTCATAGGGTCCTTCATTAATGAGCTCACTGGCTTTTCTTTCAAGATAAACAGAGAAAAAGAGAAACATCAGTGAAGTTTCAAAGCATCAGAAAAAATACTTTTGAGAGGAAATACAATCAACCTCCTAATTATTATTTTTTTAATCTTACTTTTAATGTTGAGATATAACATTTGTGTATTTGCCTCTTCACTGCTTTTATTTTCAAACCACTTATCTTGATTTTCAGGGGAACCCATCATACGCTAAATGTTGACATCACCAGTCCAGCATTTGCAGATGTTAGCTTAAGATACACAGGGCGTAATGATGAAATCACTGCTTCCATTTCTTCAACATCTGCTGGTTTCCTTGGGCTACTTTTGGAAAAGAAAAGCCCGGAACTATTGCATGGAAGGCTGTATAGCCGATACCCAGTAAGTAACATTTTTGAAATTCAAATTGTTACTTGATGGATAACTTCAATGTGTCTGTTTAATTTTAATTGCAATGTACACAATGATTTAAAAAAGGAACCTTAGGATTTATCTAGCTACTTTACTCACAACTATTAATAGCTCATAGGTGTAAATAAAGATAAGCCTGCCAAAAGATATATATTTTGATAAAATGTATATTTCCATTCAGATACAATGTACTGTATATACTGTACACAGAGAAGATAAAAACATAGATTTGTTGTATTGGAATATTGGTACTAATTGCCTTTAATTTGAATTTCACAGTCCTCTCCTGAAAAAGATGTAAACATTCTGGATACTGAAGTGTCCCTGCGTAATCATGAAATGCTTCACTTTCAAGCCACCTGGAATGGGAATATTTTTTATGAAATGCTGACTGGACTGAGGGAAAAAGTGCCCAAAATGATGTCTGCTGTGTACAAGTGCATTGACAAATACCACCGTAATCTCTTTGGAGTCGAAATCAGTGTGTGTGCACAGAATCTGAGGAAAGCAGTTTCAAATGTCATTGAAACATCCTATAGAGAGCTTCCCAAGACATTTGAACAAATTGGGGATGAGACCAAGAAGTTATATAAAAGGGCAGCTGACAGCCTGGGTAGTGCAGATCTCCAGAACTTGAGCAGCAAGTTCTATGATAGTACAAAAAACGTATTGAGACAATATCAAAAGAAGGTAAAAGAACTGCTTGATGCTGCCATCAAATTCTTAAAGGAGACTAAATTCCAGTTGCCTGGATTTGAAGAGCGATTTACAGGCCATGAGCTCTACCTTCAAGCCACTCAGTCTGTCATCTATATGATTGACCAGATAATTCAACAAGTAGATGACTTCATGGAAAGATATACAAGTGCTTTGGTAAACTACATCAAAAGTATTGAATTCAAGGTGCCCGGTACTGACCAAACTGTATCTGGAAAGGAAGTATTGAAAAAAATTAAAATTGGTTTAAGAGCAATCCAGAATAAAGCAATAGAAACTATGAAGAGCCTTCAGAAGGTAAGCCTTGAGAAGATACTTCAGGAATTACGAGATTTTCTCCAGACTTGCTCCCAGAAAGTTGAAGAAATTATCAGCACTTTGAAGTCCCAGAATTTTGAAGAAATCAGAACCAAGATTGGGGAGATTTACTCTGATGCCATGAATTCACCCACTGCAGAGAAAATCAAAGATGACTTAACATACATTTTAAAGAGTGCAGTACATATATATAGATTGTCAGAGGATATGCTCAATATAATTGTGAAACACCTGGAGAAAGCCAGTCTTTATGTGAAGTCCCTCCGAGAAGAGTATCTGGATGCTAACATGGTTGGATGGACTGTCCGGTACTATGAAATTGAAGAAAAGATAATTGACTTAATCAAGAGGTTTTTTGTATATGTGAAAGAGGTGAAAGAAATAATTGACACAAATGGATCTGAGTATTTTAACTATGTTGATGATCTGGTTTTCAATGTAGAAGGTAAAGGCCAGGAGATGGTGTCATACCTGGTAAATAGAGCTCAAGATCAAATGCGTGAATTGTCTACCAGTGCCAAAAGAGCTGCCAATGAATACAAAGATCTTGCCAAAGTCCAAATCCAGAATGCTTTTGACAAAATGTCTCTTGACAACCTGTCATCTGAAATTCAAAAAATCATAGATTTTATGATTCAAAAGTATTCTTCAATTTACAATGACATTTTAAACCTTCTTCAGGAGCTTTCCAGGAACATGCGACCTTACATGCAAGTCAGTGATTCGGAGCTTAATGTCAATGTACCTCTTCCATTCCTCTGGGAATCCTTTGACGAATTACCAGAGCGCAGGGATCAATGAGCACATTAAACACAACCATCTATATGGGGAAAGCTGCTCAATGAAATTGATGGTCTGATTCAGAACAAGAAGGACATTTGTTAAAAACTCATAAATCCTTGTATTTAAATGTGTTATACAAACTGCATCATGTAAAAGCTGTTTTATCTTCATTCTTTTTTTGTAAATTAAATGTTGTAATTTTTTAGGTTATTTCAGGTTTGCTAAAAAGTTAAAATAAATAGCAATTCTTTATTAAATCTTTGTTCCCTTTATGTCTTCCCTACTTATTATGAAGTGATCTTAAACTCAATAATGGGCAATAATAAAGAAAATATTCACAGCCATGAGATTATATGTTTTTGACCACTATACCAATAACTACACATGCTATTAAGTTAAATATAGAGCACCACACACTAGTATTTCACAAGGTGAATGTAATGTAATTTAATTCATAGCAAAAAGCAAAAATTTGGGCATAATGTCACTTTCCTAAGACTATTAAGATATACTTTGTTAAAAACACTGCTGGATATACCTGTGACATACATTTTAAATCCTGAGCAAGAGTGTTTATCTATTCAGTCACCACAAACCGATCTGTATTTCATAAAACACTCCACATGACATTTATCTCCAAGGAAGAACAAACAAAATATTTATAAGCAAATATACACCAAGGCAATGAAACTGCCAAGCATAGTTAGCCTCAAAGCAAAAAGATTTACCTAAGAGTAAACCTAAAGGAAGGTAATTCATTGACTATATACTGTATTAATAGTAACCAAAGAGTTTTAATTTTCATATGGTGTCCCAAGACAAAAATGCTCACAATGCTCTTTGCAACTTTTTTCTGTCTTCAACATAATTTTAACTTGTGTTTTTGTGTTACTGCAATTCTTGGAAGAAATCTCCTTTGTTGACCTGATCATTTCCTTTCACACATAACATTACATAAGTTGTAAATGACTAACTTAAGCTCCCACTTAATCCTCTCTGTTCTTGGATAACAAAAGTTACCCTTTTTTTAGACAGTCCATCTATGACATTACCTTTAAGTCAAAGATATATTCGATTACCTGATTCCTTTGTACTACTTCTGGAGAAGTAACACTATATTTTTCATCCAGCATGATCACCAAAACTGAACTCAATATTGCAAATGTCTTACCTAATGCACTAAAAAAAAATAACATGACTCACCTAGATTTGAATTCTACACTTTTAACTATCTTATAGAAAAAAATTGATGAGGCCTTTTATTGCTTTCCTGCACTGTTTAATTGAAGAATGAGTCTACATAATCTCCTAGATCTTTCTCATGTGTTGTCATTTCCTTCCATTTCCTTCCTTCCATTTCAATACCACCAATCTAACATTTGAAATTAATTGCTCAGCTTCATTCACATTTGTTTTCCTACTGCTTCTTTTTAATTTTACTGTAAGTTTGATAATTTTAGTAAATCTAGTTGCACCAATACACGAGTTTTTATCATGAGTACCATTTCACAAACACTTGATGAATTTATTAAAATCAAAGAACTCCCCACAAAATGTCTTGCTTAAAATGTTCTTCCATTCAACTCACCCTGATTTGTTAAAGAGAAAATATTTTTAAATGAAAATATAAAAGTATTGAAACTATCCTATTGTCCTTACACTAATATTAATAGTATTTGTGAAAGTAGTAGTTACTGTAGGATAACAGGATATAAGCTCTGTTATAAATGTTTTCCAATGAAGACTTTAATTATTGTATAATGGAAATTAGCAATAGTCAATAAGGAGCTATCTCAAGAAACCATCACTACTAGAACAATATGAATAAGAAAAATCAAAACAAATTATGATGAATAACTAAAATTTTCTAGACTGTTGTTTGATCTTTCAGCAAATTGCTTTAGGTTTAATACAAATGTATAGATTTACATATGAGATCTGTTTCACTTCTTTCCTGATGGCTGTTTTATTTAAATGAGTGAGCTTCACATTTTTGACTGCTGAAATCATGTGTATAATACAGTATGTATTTAGTTTATTTAGCTTAGTTGTTGTCAAACAAAAAAAAGTTATTACCCACCCTTTTTTTCCTTGCTGTCAGCATCACAGGGTAACCTATTATTTTTTATGCTGTTATTTTGATTTCAAGTTGTTAATATCCAGTATAACCTATGTACATTTCAGGAAGGATAATTTTCCATCCTTCTGAAGTATTTCCTTTGTTCAGCCATTTGATGGTGCTGCAGACAAAGCCATGACCAAGCATTTGTGGGCTGCTCTAGGCTCCTTAAGCTACGTGAATGGTCTTTTGCTTCCCTATTATGTGCAATACATTCCCCTTACTTATTTCCCCTGGATACCTGGTAGGAAACTGTACCCCCCTGATATTTCATATACTCACTAGAACCAGCTCTATAACAAATGTTGCTAAGCAAGAAACTGCCACCTGTTAAGAATTCAAGGTCTGGAGATGTAGTGAAGTGTGGTGCTTTCCCACAGTAGTGTTTAAAAAGGTTATAGATCATGTGTGCATAATAGGCAGAACATTAGGTCACTTGTCTCACTTACAACAATAATCCATTTTGATATGGGTCAAGACAGCATTTAAAAAAGGCTAACCAATATCATGTCTATTGATGAGACTGATCCCTTTCTCCTTCTCTGTCCTAATGAAATTTCTTTTAAATACATAGCACTTAAGTTAATAAAAAGTGCCACACATCTGCTAGTGTAGGCTTGGGAATGAAAGCTTTGGAAGTTCAATCCTGAGATTGCTGACATAACGTTTAAGTGACTTCCCACTGAGACACCACCAGGAACCAAATTAAGAAATGCAACACAATAAGCGCACAAGAAAAGACATTAATAACCTGTTAGTAAGTGCAGACCTCTTTCTTACTCATTTTCTAACATTTGTCCATAGAGGTATAGATAAAAAAGTGTGTCTGTACAACAGGTTTTTGTTCTTGATGATGGTGTAAATAAAAGGAACGGTTACTTTTCTTTAAATAAAATGAGTTAATATTCCTACTGGAAGAGGGCTCATATGTAAATCCAAATTGTTCTGATTTTAAGGGTTTTCTTCAGACCTGAATAAACAGGTCTAATGGCTAATTTCCTAAGACCTCAACATTTGCCCAACAATTTTCTCAAAGCTTCATCCTATGCAGGGTAGTGAAGGAGTCAGAGACTATCTCAAAATGCAACTTGTGAAGGACAGGACTCCATACAAGATAGCACCCTAGATTCAGAATTGAATCCAGGGCCCCAGCACTGCAACACAGTTCAGCCCGGGATTCAGACATGCCGCTGGTAAAAGCAAGACGTTCATGGAAGTCTTCAGGAGGAAGCTTTTGAAGAGCTGTGGGAGTGCTTTGCAAAATTCCAAGGCACTTCAGGTGACAAAACAAACTGCCACTGTGGCATGTAAGAACATAGTTACAAAATTAATAACAGGGACTGTGAGTCATTTAAATGAGTACAACACAGCAGAGGGTGGGAAAAGAGAAAAGGGCAGAAAGCAAAAAACAAAGATGATAAAACACCTACTACTTACATGTGCTCTCATTTTTTGGCACTTAGTGGTCTATTTAGAAGAAAAATCCAAACCTAAGTATGAATCCTTAGAAAACGTTAAGGGCCTGAGTCCTTCAGTAAAAATAAATAAATCTAGATGTGAATAGCTCCTCTGTCAAAAACTAGGAAAAATAAATCTTCCATTCTACTTGAGATTTAGTGACCCAGGCTTTGGATTTTATGAACCTTAGCATTTGCCAGTATTACTAGTAAGATGAAGATGGGAACTACAGAAGGTTTAGGTTTATTAGGTATTTTTGCAGCCAGTGGAGGCATTGAGGGCTGTTTCAGTTTGTCAGAATAATGTCTGCACTCTGAGGAAACCTGGCCATCACTGTCAGGCCTACAGCCATGACATGTTACCATCCAAAATACTGCTGATTGAGTCAGACTCTGGGTCTTTATGCTCCTGCTCAGTCTGCAGGTACCTTATAACTGAGATAAAGAAGAAACAAGCCTTTTGGGTAAAGCGCATCTTAAAGTTCTGTTTTCAAGTTTAAAACATCTGACATTTCTTCCTTTCACAAGAAAAATGAAAATATAAGAAAAGCAAGAAGACACTCTTTCACTTGTTTGGTTGAGAGTAATACCCAGATTGGGCCTTATCCAAAATACAGATTTCATTAATTGATTCTTAAACAAAATGATCAAAACTTCCTAGACTATTAAAAAGTATGAAAAGTCTTTGTTAATGGTTGTGTCAAAAATGTAATTTTGTCCTGGACAATGATATTTTATTCTTGTTGCTCATTATTTTAATGGGGGCAGCATGGTGCCACAGTGATTAGCTTTACAGACTTGCAGTGCCGAGGCCTTGGGTTCAATTTGATATGGGATACTCTCAGCATGGAGCTTGAATTTTCACCCTGTGTTTGCTTGGGCTTCATCCGGGTGCTTTGGTTTCGTCACACATTCCAAAGACGTAATGGAAAAATTAGTGTGAGTGAGTGTGTCTGTGTCTGTGTGTGCCCCGTGATGGACTGGTGTCCAGTCCAGGATGTATCCCACCTTGAGCCTGCTGCTTGCTGGGATTGTCTCCAGATCTGTCTTGGATGGAGTATTTCAATGGACCTAGATGTCTTCCTTTTCAATTTGTTTTTTTGTTTTTTGTTGGTCTGTTTCATTCGACCAACATTTTTTTTTAATTAACAAGATCAGAAAGACCTTCCAAATAGCTTAATACCAAGGTTCCCATAGCATTTTGAAATGTGGTCTTCTATATGGAAAACGATCATTTCCCATGTACAGTACAAGCTGTTTTCCATAAAGCACTTCTCCAAATTCTCCATACTTTTTGGGAGCACTATAAAAGGTAATTTGATACGGGAGTGATCCAGCATGTACAGTGTACTGCTGTGAGGATTATATTTTTTATTTGGGAAGAGCATTTAAAATGAGAACAAGACACATCTTCTCTATACAATGTATTATAGGAGACTGGAACAAGCTACCCAGCCATGTTGTTGAAGCTGATACCCTACCTGACTTAATTCATTCCGCAATGAGCCCCTGGGATCAACTAGTTCTTAAAAAATTAAATGAGCAGGGCTGGCTGATTGCCTTCCTCTTGTGACCATTTTCATATTTTAGGTATGCACTCTGTCATTACCCATTTTTCAAAATGCCAGCTACAATAGCATAGTAAAACCAATTAATTACTCCTTAGTTCGCCTTATTAATT